CTAGACTTAAAAGACCTGACTCTTGCCACTTCCCTCTGCTCTCCACATTCTCTCATCTCCAACCAGCTCGTCACAATAGCCTCTGTCAGTTCCTCCAGTGAGTCAAATTTTTTTCCTACCTCAGGATCTTTCCACTGCTGTTCCCTCAACCTCAAAGGGCACAGAGCCTGGACTCAACAATTATTTGTTCAATAGCTAAATTTGGAACTCTTTTAAAAATGAAGATAAAAGTTAAATCCCTGATAATGTATGATGCTGCCACATAAGAAAATCTGAGGAAAGATGATGAAAGGTGTGACCACAAAAAAAGATGAGCAAATACAAAGGAGTATGCAGAGGTAACCAGGAGAGCTGGGGTGAAATTTTTATTTTTTTTAATTTTTAACAATATTCTATTGATTTCTGCCATACAACAATACAAGTCAGTCATAATTGCAGTGAAGTTTTAAGGAGATAGCATCTTAAATCCTCAAGATTGAAAGAATCACTGTATTTGGCAATAATTTAGAGAAAGAACCCTGAAAAAGTAATTTTCCATGAAGTTGGAAGGAGCATGGGGCAAAGGTCAGATTGTTACAGAAAAATAAGTCAGATAAAACAGATTAATTTACCAAAATTTAGTCTGCTTGATAAAGAAAATAAGTAGGATCCAAGAAAGGTGATTTTAGGGACAAACTGTTTTTTTGAGTGATCAAGACCAACTCCAAGAAAAAGAAATGCAAAAAGGCAAAATGGTTGTCTGAGGAGGCCTTACAAATAGCTGAGAAAAGAAGAGAAGATAAAGGCAAAGGAGAAAAAGAAAGATATACCATCAGAATGTGGAGTTCCAAAGAACAGCAAGGAGAGATAAGAAAACCTTCCTAAGTGATCAGTGCAAAGATATAGAGGAAAACAACAGAAAGGGAAAGACTAGAGATCTCTTCAAGAAAATCAGAGATACCAAGGGAACAGTTCATGCAAAGATGGGCTCAATAAAGGACATAAATGGTGTGGACCTAACAAAGGTGGCAATACACAGAAGAACTACATAAAAAAGATCTTCATGACCCAGATAACCACAATGGTGTGATCACCCATCTACAGCCAGACATCCTGGAGTGCAAAGTCAAGTGGGCCTCAGGAAGCATCACTACAAAGTTAGTGGATGGAATTCCAGTTGAGCTATTTCAAATCCTAAAAGATGATGCTATGAAAGTGCTGCATTCAATATGCCAGCAAATTTGGAAAACACAGCAGTGGCCACAGGACTGGAAAAGGTCAGTTTTCATTCCAATCCCAGAGAAAGGCAATGCCAAAGAATGTTCAAACTACTGCACAATTGCACTCATCTCACACACTAGTAAAGTAATGCTTAAAATTCTTCAAGGTAGGCTTCAACAGTACATGAACCAAGAACTTCCAGATGTTCAAGCTGGATTTAGAAAAGGCAGAAGAACCAGAGATCAAACTCAACATTCGTTGGATCATCAAAAAAGCAAGAGAGTTCCAGAAAAATACCTATTTCTGCTTCATTGACTACGCCAAAGCCTTTGTCAGTGTGGATCACAACAAACATGAAAATTCTTCACAAGATGGGAATACCAGACCATCTGATCTGCCTCCTGAGAAATCTGTATGCAGGCCAAGAAGCAACAGTTAGAACTAGACATGGAACAACAGACTAGTTCCAAATTGGGAAAGGAGTACATCAAGGCTGTATATTATCACCCTGCTTATTTTACTTATATGCAGAGTACATCATGCGAAATGCCAGGCTGGATGAAGCACAAGCTGGAATCAAGACTGCCCGGAGAAATTTCAATAACTTCAGATATGAAGATGACACAACCCTTATGGTAGAACTCAAAGAGGAACTAAAGAGCCTCTTGATTAAAGTGAAAGGACAGTGAAAAAGCTGGCTTAAAACGGAACATTCAAAAAACTAAGATCAGTTCATGGCAAATACATGGGAAACAATGGAAACAGTGATAGACTATTTTCTTAGGCTCCAAAATCACTGCAGATGGAAACTGCAGCCATGAAATTAAAAGACACTTGGTCCTTGAAAGAAAAGCTATGACCAATCTAGAGAGCAGATTAAAAAGCAGAGACATTACTTTGTCAATGAAGGTCCGGCTGGTCAAAACTATGGTTTTCCCAGTAGTCATGTTCAGATGTGAGAGTTAGACCATAAACAAAGCTCACCCAGTCAGGATGGCTGCTATCCAAAAGTCTACAAGCAGTAAATGCTGGAGAGGGTGTGGAGAAAAGGGAACCCTCTTACACTGTCGCTGGGAATGCAAACTAGTACAGCCACTATGGAAAACAGTGTGGAGATTTCTTAAAAAACTGGAAATAGAACTGCCATATGACCCAGCAATCCCACTTCTGGGCATACACACCGAGGAAACCAGATCTGAAAGAAACACGTGCACCCCAATGTTCATCGCAGCACTGTTTATAATAGCCAGGACATGGAAGCATACCTAGATGCCCATCAGCAGACAAATGGATAAGGAAGCTGTGGTACATATACACTATGGAATATTACTCAGCCATTAAAAAGAATTCATTTGAATCAGTTCTAATGAGGTGGATGAAACTGGAGCCCATTATACAGAGTGAAGTAAGCCAGAAAGACAAAGACCAATACAGTATACTAATTCCATATATATGGAATTTAGAAAGATGGTAATGATAACCCTATATGCAAAACAGAAAGAGACACAGATGTACAGAACAGACTTTTGGACTCTATGGGAGAAAGCGAGGGTAGGATGATCTGAGAGAACAGCATTGAAACAAGTATACTATCAAGGGTGAAACAGATCACCAGTCCAGGTTGGATGCATGAGACAAGTGCTCGGGGCTGGTGCACTGGGAAGACCCAGAGGAATGGGGTGGGGAGGGAGGTGGGAGAGGGGATCGGGATGGGGAACACATGTAAACCCATGGCTGATTCATGTCAATGTATGACAAAAACCACTACAATATTGTAAAGTAATTAGCCTCCAACTAATAAAAATAAATGGGAAACAAACAAAAAAATAAAGCTCAGCGGTGAGGAACTGATGCTTCTGAACTGTGGTGTTGGAGAAGACTCTTGAGAGTCCCTTGGACTGCAGGGAGATCCAACCAGTGCATCCTAAAGGAAATCAGTCCTGCATATTCATTGACTGATACTGAAGCTGAAGTTCCAATACTTTGGTCAACTGATGCAAAGAATTGACCCAGTGGAAAAGGCTCTGATACTGGGAAAGACTGAACACAGAAGGGGACGACACAGGATGAGATGGTTGGATGGCATCACCGACTGGATGGACAGTAGTTTGAGCGAGCTCCTGGAGCTGGTGATGGACTGTAGCTGGGAGGCCTGGCAATGCTGCAGTCCATGGGGTCGCAGAGTCGGACAGGACTGAGCAACTGAACTGAACTGGTAGGAGACTAAGGAAGCAGACGAAGAGGCTAATGTACAACTAATGTACAAACGGAGTAAAAATAAAACCGACATCCTGAAGACATTGTCTCTATTTGTCCAGGTTTGTTAACAGCCACGGTGCTTTTCGCACACACTATCTTACTGTTCCCCAGCTCTCTGATGACACATCCACTAGGTCGATAGTGCGTGCGGAAAGCACTGTGGATGTCAGAAACCTGGGCACAGTTCAAAAGCATCAATTCTTCGGCGCTGAACTTTCTTTATGGTCCCTTGACTGGCATCATCAAGCATCAAAAGGAACTTGTTAGAAATGCACATTCTTGGATTCCACACCGATGGGATTTCAGATGAGTCTCAGCAGCGTGTTTTAACAAATCCTCCAGCGCATCTGATGATCTCCAAGTTCCCACAATCGTCATACTCAGGAGGGAACTACGGAGACCACTGCAAGGATGGCGGCCGCCGTCTGAGGACCAAACTTCCTTCTGACCCCTACCTGGATTGTCCTCGCTCCTAGCAGGGGTAGTACACGACCCCACCCAGCCACCACCGCGGAGCAACGTTGCCCCGCTCCGGACTTAGCCCGTGCAGGGTCTTTCCAACTTCAGCCGGAGTACAAGCCAGAAAAGGACTCCTTACTAAACTCCGCTTCCACCCACGAATGTGCTGGGCGTCCCCAGCCCTCCGGCTTCAACTTCCGGCGCAGGGGGGAGGGTGTGGGAGGGGGAGTGGGTGCTCGGGTCGGTGCGGAAGGGACTTGGGACGGACGTGTCCAACTTCCTCGGCACCGGCGGGGGTGGTGGGGGATATTCGTTCTCCCAACCCTCTCCAGGTGCTAACTAAGAGGCCGGAGGAGACGGCGGTGGGAGAAAGATGGCCTAGTGTAGTCTAAGTGTCCGGGAAATCGGCAACCCAATAAAAGAATAATCTTTGAAAATCACGTTCGCTTCCTTTCCCACCCCAGGCCGCTGAGCCGCGATCCAGGAGGGGTGGAGAAGAGTGGGTAGGGCACCGGAGGAAGAAATCTCGCGATATGAGACCGGCCGGGGCGGGGGTGGCACCTCTTCCCTCCTCCTCCTCCTCGCGTTAGTTCCGGTAGCAGAGGAGACACCGCCGCAGTTGCTGCCACCTCCGGGGTTTCTGGCTCTTTTCTCATCGCCTTAAATTCGGTGAGTCCCGCGGCTTACTCATCTTGGGCCGAGATTGCGGCCCCTCGTCGCTGGGTAGAGGGTGAGGGAGGCGGCGGGTCCTGTGCGGCCCGATTTGGATGGGCCCGGGCGGAGGCCGCCGCATGAAGCCGGACCCGATCTCGGGCTTGGATTCGGGGCTCGGAGCGGCTTGCTTCAGCGGGAAGATCGAGAGGCGGCTGCCCAGGCCAGAACGCGGGGCACACCGCGGCTCCACGGACGGAGGCAGTGGGCGAGGCAGGCCCTCGTCCAGCCCTGCCCGGCCTGGGTAACAAAGCCGCCGCGGTCTCTGTTGGGTGATGTACGCGTGGGGGGTTTCGGCGGGCGGGGCGGAGGGGCCGCCACCACCACTGCGGCCGCCTCCACTGCCGTTGCTTTCGCTGGAGGGCGGGCGGATGTACGGGGCGGCGGGGCCCCCGGCGCGAAGTGCCTCGGCGCCTTTGGTCCGCTCGTTGCGGCGGCCGCCACCGCCGACCACGGGGTCAGTGGAGAAGGGGCTGCGGGCGAGGAGCAGCTCTTGGGCGGGGGTGGGTTATCCGTCGCTGGGCTGGAGGCCCGGAAAGGGTTGAATGGGGAGACACGTGCCCGGGCAGGAGGCTTGCCTTGGAAGGCACAGAGGAGGCTAGGCCCTCTCAGCCCCCTTTTGCTGTTGGAGTGGTGCAAGCGACCGCTAACGGTCCCGGTCACGACTTGAGGGTAGGGTGGTGCTGCCCTCGGATGAAGGGATTAGCCTTCTGATAGCGTCTTTAAATTGACATACATGTTTTGGATACCTCCTGATTACGATGGTCGTTTCTGTTAGCCCTCTGTGGTGCTCAGAGTAGTGGAAGGAGATGCAGGCGAATTTAAACAGGAACGAGGAGACCGTGCTTATGATGGGTGATTTGCCATTAGTCGCAGTGGCGCTGTGAAGTCATTTAAAAGTGGCCTTCACATTTCATCTTTAAAGAGTTTTTTGTAGGGAGAAATGCAGGTTTTGAACTTACATTTAATCAAACAAAGGTAATTCTTTGTGCCTGTCCCAGGTCTATTGCTAGGCTGAAAGTGTATGTTCTACCGTAGTTTATCCGTGACTAGGCCAAGGTTTGATGCTTTGTTTTTAAAATGGATGTTCATGGCACTGATATTTTTAAGGCCTTATTTTCCCCCCTTAGGGTGTCTTTTATGAATAATCAAAAGCAGCAAAAGCCAACGCTATCAGGCCAGCGTTTTAAAACCAGAAAAAGAGGTAAATATTTATATTTTAATAATATCTTCTTTTCAGACCTCCAGAATAACTTATATTTTGGTTCCTCTGGCAGGCTATTGCTTATTATTTTAGAACTTAAAGGGAAAGTATCAGAAAGGAGCTTGAATTTGTAGTTGACTGCCATTTCAGATATCTGTTTCTACTGCCTTTAAGATTTGTGATATCAACATAGATACATCTAAGCAGGCTAGTGAATGGTCTTTATTGTGAACATACAGTGACTCTAAACAGAAAAAAAAAGTATGGACTTCAGGGCTTCATTTTCACTTGCCAGATTTCATTTAAGCAAGATTTTGCTTGTGAGAAAAGGTTAATTTATAAAAGGAGAACTCCTAATGTGATTACTAGTTTCATCCAAGCTATGTGAACATTTGTCAGAGAAAAATCAGACTTTAACCCATGGAAGTTAATTATGGAACAGAGTTCACATTGCACTGTGTTTTGAAACTATTTCCTCACAGACTTAGTTTAAAAAAAAACAACACAAGAATTCCACTAATTACTTGTGTTTTATTAGGTACTTTGGTGAGTATTGAATACTGTAGCAAGACACTGCACTCATGATACAAAGTTAAATGAGATGTGGTCTCGGGTATATTTCGTATTAGCTTTAGTGTTTTACCCCTAAACTTTTCAATGTTATTGCTCAAAAGTACATATTGACCTTATCTTACAGGAAACTTTTAGAAAATAAAGAACTGGGTTGACTACTGGTTATAAATTATGTTTTTCAACCCTGAGTGGCAGACTCTTTGAGATGTACATTAGAGAATCTTTTTATAATCTCTCATTGTAGCCTGCCCCCGCCTTACAGGAGGGAACAAGTAGTGTTTTGATTCTAGTCGTTGAAGATTCATTACAATTTAAGCCAGTAAACTTTCTCAAGAGGAATAGTTGGGAACCAGAACAATTCTATAATGGAAAAATCTGTATATATTATCTGGTATAATACATTTTCAAGTAGTTTTAATATTGTTGTTAGTATCAGGAAGATATGTCACTTCCCCAGATTGAGATTACTCATGGTCTCTTAGTTCTTGTTAATTGGATCCTGATTTGCCTGGGACTGAATAGAGTTCCGAGGACATAGACCTTTCAGTGTTGCAAACAAGAAGAGTCCTAGGCAAACAAAAGAGTTGGTCATCCTAGTGCTATGTAGAAATTAAGACGTCATCTAACCTAGATAGTGAAATCAAACCCTGCCCTGGAGTGTATGACAGCAGCACAGTAAAGGCTAGGTATATACCCGAGGCACTGTTTAGAGAGTGCTTTCTATTTTAGTTATGTCATTTAATATTCAGAACAACTTCATGAGATGGATCCTACTCTTAATCACCATTTACCTCAGGAACATTCAGACATGAAGAATGCACTAAGTTGCTCAACTTCAGATAGCTAAGTGCAGATCTCGGTTTAAATCAGGCAGTTTAAATCCAGAGCCCCTACTCAAAAATGCTCCATGTCATGTATTGGATACTCAAAAAATGTACTTTCTAAAAATTACCTTAATAAGTATTAGAGTGACCATAACCAAATGTTATGATCATTTAAAGGAAATCAAGAGGTGTCCCGTACTTGGACAAAATTTCACTCAGGAATAAAGTTCTATACCTGAGGTATAGAAGATATCCTGAATTTCACACTTTTCCAGGTGGAAATTGTCTCTTAGCAGTAGGAACACCCCAGCTCATTTAGGTCACTTAGGAGACCTGCATGAAAAAATAAGAGAGAAGCCATACACTTCTTGTGATAGGCAGTCCTGCCTTGCACTCCCAGAGGTGCAACTTGCAAAGGATGTGTTTAGTCTCCTGTCTGTTTGCTTGTGTTACAGGTCTTAGGCAATTAAGTAGCATTTGTTTTTCCCAGGTATTGAAATAAGTGAAATTGTAATGAATGTGGTTAACTTACTCAGTAGTTACAGCTTCATAAGGCAGTGGTTTCACCGCCTTTTAAAACGTAGATGTTTTGGGGTTTTCCCTCCAGATGAAAAAGAGAGGTTTGACCCTACTCAGTTTCAAGACTGCATTATTCAAGGCTTAACTGAAACTGGTACTGATTTGGAAGCAGTAGCAAAGTTTCTTGATGCTTCTGGAGCAAAACTTGATTACCGACGATATGCAGAAACACTCTTTGACATTCTGGTGGCTGGCGGAATGCTGGGTAAGTATCTGAGTCTTGTGGGAAGTGTGTTGTATGGGGATTATGTAAAACCCACCATCAGAACTGTTTGACAGACCTATCAAATCAGGATGGCTTTGTTTCTGTTTGTTTTCTTTTTTTTACCCCCTTAGGATTTTCACTTTTTTTCTTCTCAAATTATAGTAAATTTGCAGGTCGCCTTGCTCTGTATAACTTTATATTTGAAATCCATGACAGAACCATAACATTTGGGGAAGACTTTTCAGTCTGATACATAAGTCCCAAAACATCTCTCATCGGTGATTTTTCCAGCTGTGTTTGCACACTCTCAGTTAATGAGGAAATCCATATCTCTTTCTGTCTTACCAAATACTTTATACAGACAACCCTCCATATCCAAGGTTCCACATCCATGGATTCAGCCCAACTGTGGATCAAAAATTTTCCAGGGAGGGGAGGAGTAGAAAGTTCCAAAAAGCAAAACTTGGATTTTCCATATACAGCAACTGTTTTTTAGCATTTATGTTGTATTTGATATTACATACAGTCTAGAGACCATTAAAATATACACAAGGCTAAATGCAGGTTGTATATAAATACTATGCCCCTGGTAATTCCTGGGTTGGGGGAATTACCACTCCAGTATTCATGGGCTTCCCTGGTGGCTCGGGTAGTAAAGAATCTGCCTGCAAGGCAGGAGACCTGGGTTTGATCCCTGAGTTGGGAAGGTCCCCTGGAGGAGGGCATGGCAACCCACTCCAGTATTCTGGCCTGGAGAGTCCCCAGGGACAGACGAGCCTGGCAGGTTATAGTCAGTCGGTTCACAAAGAGTCGGACACAACTGAGTGACTTAAGCACACACATTCTCTTTTATATAAGGGACTTGAGTATTGACAGATTTTCCACCAGTGCCCTGGAGCCAATTCAGGACAGTGCTATACCTGAGTCCACAGGGTGGCAGAGTTGGACACAACTTAGCAATTGAACAAGTAACTGAACACTAATTCTGCACTCTTCTATGTATTAGCCACTAGCTAATTATCAATCACTTAGAATGTGCCTAGTACAAATTGAGAGGTTAAAATACACTTTGGATTTTGAAGACAGTGTTAAGTAGAATAAGACATCTCAATAATACTTTGAATATTAAAACATTAATATTTTTGATGTGTTGAATTAAAGTATATCAAAATTAATTTCACTTCTTTTAATGTGGCTGCTAGGAGATTTAGAATTACATTATATGGCTCACATTATATTTCTACTCATAGCCCTGCTAATTCACTCCTGCCTTCACTCTCAGCAGCTTAGATATCTTAACAGAATGTGTTACTTAGTTATATATCCTCAATTGATGCTGGTAATTTCATTTCCATGGCTCCCTAAAGTATTCCACAATGTTGTCACAGTAACATTGTATTGAACCTCACACCAGGCTGCTGGAATGAGACTCTTATTTGTGTACATGCAGAATGGAGGCTTAGAGAGGCTTCCATAGCTTGCATGTAGTCAAACAGTTGCTCAGTGGTGGAACTGTGAAGTCAGAAAGAAGATTGAAAGAATGATTAATTTTAAAGGAATGTCATTGCAATTTTTTTGTGAAATATACTTTAGCCCCAGGTGGTACACTGGCAGATGACATGATGCGTACAGATGTCTGTGTGTTTGCAGCACAAGAAGACCTAGAGACCATGCAAGCATTTGCTCAGGTAAATTAAACTTTACATGATTCAGTTAGCTGTTGTCCATCTGGCTGATGTTGAAGGAATAGTCTGCTTTTAAGAGATTTGTGGTAGAAGGTTAAAGGGATTTGAGCTGAAAGTTTAGAGGTGTCCTTGGTGTACAGTATGATGTGGAAACTTAAAAATGCATTGAAGAAAACAAAAATAGAAAAAAAAAATGGAATTACTTTTCCTTTAGTTGTTTTTCTAGAATTAATCCATTTTTTAAGGAAAAAAGTCAAGCTGAAAAAGGAAAATCAGTTCCCTGTCATGATTTTCATCATTAAATTATTCTACATATAGCTTTTTAAAGGTGAATGAGTTATAGGCAGATTAGCTTCTTTATCAGTCAGAATCTCATTTGAAAGTTCATACAAATGCATCTAACCTAGGGGTTGTTGTCTTTGTCGTTCAGAAAGTAGAACTGTATTTTATGACCTTTTGTTAATATCCTGCAGGTAGGTGAATGACTTGTATTTGAGCAGTAATTAATTTGTACTTTGATACTTTGGCAATAAAGATCTATTGGGGCTGGTGATTAAAGTGTTAACATTATTGGTATATTGTAGGATTTCGGAAGTACAGGATTTCTTAAGCTGATTAAACATCTAATGAAAGGTTCATTTCTTTGCTGTTCTAGAGATACTGTGGCGAGGTCTTAGTTTCCCTGATTTAGATCTTTTGGGTATCTGACATTTTTACACATGAAGTTATTCAGTTCCTTTATTAATTCTTACAGGTTTTTAACAAGTTAATCAGGCGCTACAAATACCTGGAGAAAGGTTTTGAAGATGAAGTTAAAAAGGTATGAGCAGCAATATCCTTTGTGGAAAACAAAAGGTTGGGGCCAAAGAAGGGAATGTTAAATCCTAATTCTGCCATGGATTTGAGATAATTTTAGATATTTAAGTGGGCTGTCTTTGAAATGAAGTTTGGAGTATATCATGTAGTTTAATTTGCTGTACACTGTTTCTTAGTTCTATGTTCAAACAAGTGGCAAAGGAGTAAAAATCCAAGTGGAGTTTGTTCAAAAGTCAGAGTAACAGATCAGAGCTAAATACCTTGACAAAGAGAAATTTACCATGCTTGCTCTCAGAGTCAGATAGTGTACATATCGGTGCACAGAAAAGTTGGTAAAGTTAATATTAACTCATTCAATACTCTCAAAAGCCCTGTGAAGCAAATTTTATTTTACACATTTACATGTGGATAAGAGGAGACTGCGCCAGAGGTTAAGTGTCTTGCCTAAGATTATTCAGCTAGTGAGTATTATAACTGAGATACAAACTTGAGTGGTTAGACCTCAGAGCCCATAGTTTTAACCAATATAATATGCTTTGCTGCTTCTCTTTATATAATACAGTTGCTCTTTTAACCCTTGACTATTTGCTTTTATAGCTGCTGCTGTTCTTAAAGGGTTTTTCAGAGTCGGAAAGGAACAAGCTGGCTATGTTGACTGGTGTTCTTCTGGCTAATGGAACACTTAATGCATCCATTCTTAATAGCCTTTACAATGAGAATTTGGTTAAAGAAGGTAATCAACCTTTCATAAATGGGTGATCTCTAGTTGGCTGAGAGTGGTGTAGATAAGAGCATAAAAGATGAACTGATACAAAAGTTAGGATATAGTTTGTGTAGATTTGACCTGTGTGATACTGATAGAACTAGTGTCCTTGAATATAATTGGTTCATTTCAGTTCAGTCATTTAATGTATAACTTTAGCATTTAGACACACACCAAATATCCAGGGTCTAGACAAAATGTGATTGATTGTAAAGTAAAAACAGAAATGCTGTGGAAACCCAGAGAGATTAATTCCAGTTGAGAAACTTGGGAACATTTTAACTGCTTTGATTACTGAGTATTTAACATGCCTTAATGTAATTCTCAGAACAGCCCTGGCAAGTGTAAGAATTGTCACTCTCATTTTACACATCAGAAAACTTGACTAACAGTACACAACTAACAAGTGGTAGAATAGAGAAATTGGAATGGGTTGGTAAGCAGTGGAAGAGGGAAGTTTAGGGGTAGGTTTGGGGGTATAGTGAATAATCCTGTGTGCTGGACCTTCAGAGGGAGGAAATGGGGAGATAAAGTCATTGAAATCCAAGAAGGTACTTCTGTTAAGTAAGCTCTGTTTTTCTACAGGGGTTTCAGCAGCTTTTGCTGTAAAGCTCTTTAAATCATGGATAAATGAAAAAGATATCAATGCAGTAGCTGCAAGTCTTCGGAAAGTGAGCATGGATAACAGACTGATGGTTTGTGACTTTTCATTCTTCACTTTCTTGACAGCACTTAAGGAAAATGTGACAGACAGCTTTCCCATTTTTAATCTGTGAGAAGAGGGAAAGTGTTTTTCTTGAACGATTTGAAGACCATTTAACAAGATTAAATTCTCATTTCAGGAACTTTTTCCTGCCAATAAACAAAGCGTTGAACACTTCACAAAGTATTTTACTGAGGCAGGCTTGAAAGAGCTTTCAGAATATGTTCGGAATCAGCAAACCATAGGAGCTCGTAAGGAACTCCAGAAAGAACTTCAAGAACAGATGTCCCGTGGTGATCCATTTAAGGATGTAAGTATTTCACCAGAGTGAGGTTTTTTGTTGGTTTTTTTTTTCCATTCATTTCCATTAGTTGGAGCCTAATCACTTTATAATATTGCAGTGGGTTCTGTCCTACATTGACATGAATCAGCCATGGAGTTACATGTATTCCCCATCCCGATCCCCCCTCCCACCTACCTCCCTCTCCACCCAATCCCTCTGGTGAAACAGATCACCAGCCCAGGTTGGATGCATGAGACAAGTGCTCAGGCCTGGTGCACTGGGAAGACCCAGAGTGAGTTTAATAATAGCTGAGAATGTTATGCTGGGGCTTTGCCTCAGTCTTTTTCATATTTGGTGCCTTACATGTGCCCTGAAATCCTAATAGTTGGGGACATTGTAAGGTGCAGGCCAGTAGACAGGCCTTTCTGTTTTCATCGTGGGCTTTTCTTAGGTAGTTTGCCTATGTGTAACATAAGGTTTAGAAGTAGAAGTCTCTACCTTCTAGTTTTAAAAGTTGTGTGGTTGTATGTGGTCTCCTGGTCATTGCTAGTTGCATGGAAAAATCTTTATGCTTTTTGTAAGTTTGATATGTATAGTATCAAACTTAGTTCTGTACTAAATATCAAACTTACTTCTGGAAGATAATTGGATTCTTTTGCAGATAATTTTGTATGTCAAGGAAGAAATGAAAAAAAACAACATCCCAGAACCCGTTGTCATTGGAATAGTATGGTCCAGCGTAATGAGCACCGTGGAATGGAACAAAAAAGAGGAGCTTGTAGCAGAGCAAGCCATCAAGCACTTGAAGGTATTAGAGTTGTGCCTGATAAAACATTGCTTTTGTAAGTGGGGATAAGTGCACTGTCCGTGTACTTTTCCAAAAGGATTTATCATATCCTATGGTTTCTGGGGATAAACCACCAGTAAGTAGACAAATAACATAATAAATATTGGTGATAACCTTTTAAAAAGTCTTAACTTGGGCTTTCTATTACCTAGAGGATAAAAACAAACTCATGTTAAAATAGCTTAAATCTGTAATTTGGTGTTTGCTTTTGAAAGAATATTGAAAAATAGGAGGATTCTTTCTTTTTTCCCTTTAAAATATTAAGATTATAGTCACAGTTATCTGGAATCCTTGGTTTAATATTGCCTCTTTGATTTAAATGCTTAAGAGATTTTTCTGCCTTTTTGTTTGTTTGTTTGTTTTTAAAAAAACTTCCGCTAAATAGAATATATAGTGATTGTAAAAGTGATTGTAAAAGATGAGTTGTGTTCTGTCTCTTAGAAGTTTGTACTGAATGTACAAATTCACTACATTCAGTATAAATTCATTGTACTGAATGACTTAATCTTTGAATGACTAAATCTTTTCTCCTTTCCCTTTAAAAGCAATACAGCCCTCTACTTGCTGCCTTTACAACTCAAGGTCAGTCAGAGCTGACTCTGTTACTGAAGATTCAGGAGTACTGCTATGACAACATTCATTTCATGAAAGCCTTCCAGAAAATAGTGGTGCTTTTTTATAAAGGTAATTTAAATTTTGAATTTTGTTAATACATTTATTGCAAAACCTAGAAAACTCAAAATAATTCTAATGAGTAGTTCTCTGAACATCAGCACCCTAAAGTATTTCACTCTAATCATAGGGCTGAGTTGTCTCTGATACAATTGGGTACATTTTTAGTGCATTATCATTAAAACATCTCTAAAGCCTTCTTGATGAGCCTCAGACTTCACCTGCTGTACTCTACCAGTCCTCTTCCCCAGACAGATGATTTTCTTGGTTCCTGTATTTTAAACCTAGAGGCCTACCTGCATCCCCATATTTTTTTTTAAGCACACTGTGCTTTGATGATTATCAACTTGTGGTTAGGTTTCTTTAAAGTATCTATACCTCCACTTACTTCCTCCAGATTATTTAGAAGTAAGTCTTTAAAATCCTCATTTAATTCTGGAAAAGTTGATAAATAACTTTTAATTTTATCAATAAAACACTGGACTTCAGTATCACACATAAAATAACTTTTTTATTTATCTATCAAATATCCCTAATCATTTATCACAAGATTTCTCAACCTTGACACTACTGTTTTGGGCCAGAAAACTGTTCTGTAGATGACTGTTGCATGGATTATAGAGTGTTTAACAGCATCCCTGGCATCAGCCAACAGGTACCAGCAGCACATCTCCCCAGTGGAACAACCAGCAATGTGTGTAAACATTGTCTGATGTCCCCAGGGGATCAGGTTGCCTTCCATTGAGAGAATCACTCTACAAGTTGATAAAAAGTTTCTTAGTATATGGTTCTCATTTCATCTTTTCTACTTTTTAAAATATTAATTTGTTGAAGAAACTAGCTGAGTGTTGAATACAGATTTATTTTGTAAGCAACAAAAATAATTGGTTTTACTCCACATTTCAGTAAAAATAAAAACGCTATGAAGGCATATGCACCTCAGGGAGTGTCTAACTCTGCCTTAGTTATGGGAGTACTGTATGACAACTCCACAGATGTAAAGGTTGCTCTCTTCTTTACAGCTGAAGTTCTGAGTGAAGAACCCATTCTAAAGTGGTATAAAGATGCACACGTTGCCAAGGGGAAGAGTGTCTTCCTTGAGCAAATGAAAAAGTTTGTAGAGTGGCTCAAAAATGCTGAAGAAGGTAAGTCTTTTCATTTGTGCAGTCTGTTTGGTAAAGCCTGAGAACTTACTTTAATGTGGACAAGAATATGTCCATACATGTCGTCTTTCATTCAGATACCATTTTGTACCTAAAGTACAGATTTTTGTTTATTCATGACACACCTCCAAAAACTCATTTACTTTAAGGCAGGGGAGAAAAACTACACTTCAGGTATTTTGATGACTTGGCCGTAATACTAACATTCTTAGGAAAATTGAAAATGTGAGAATGTGTGTTTTAGTCAATCACTCGTGTCCGACTCTGGAATCCCATGGGCTGTAGCTTCCCAGGCTCCTCTGTCCATGGAGTTCTCCAGACAAGGATATTGGAGTGGGTTGCCGTGCCCTCCAGAGGAATCTCCCCAACCCCGGGACTGAAACCAGGTCTCCTGCATTGCAGAGTTCTTTACCATCTGAGCCACCAGGGAAGTTCAAATACTTAAGAATTTTAAGATTTACAGATGCATACTTTTTGATATCCTCCTCATATGAGTAGATCATTATTAATAAAAATTTTTAAGTAACCACTGCAATGATGTAAAGTAATTAGCCTCCAACTAATAAAAATAAATGGAAAAAAAATTTTAAGTAAAGTTATAAATGGAACTTCTACTTTTTTATATCATGTAATGCTTGATTGCACTTTTCCCCTTTTCTAGAATCTGAGTCTGAAGCTGAAGAAGGTGACTGAATTTTGAAACTACACCCTCAGTAAAGCAAACAGGAGTTGTAGATAAAATGTCATGTCTCATGTGTCCTGGTTCTTACATCTTCCTACCTCCCTATATCAAGCATGATATAAGGGCTTTCATGGCAAATTTTATTTTAACTGTTTCTGTGGTTACTGGAAATGTTGGATTTAGTTTCTAAAACCATGTTTTAAGTAGCTACAGGAGCTATAGATTTGAATCTGATGTTGCATTAGTCTTTTCAGTTATCTTCTACCTCCTGTATTTTCTACTGTAATAATGTAATTTAAGGCCTTCCACAATGAACAGTTCACTTTATTCCCTGGGTTTTCTATATAAACAGTTTACAAGATATGATTTGGTTAAAAATAATTTGTTATATAAAAATTCTGTTTGCAAATTAAACTGTAAAAGTATCCAATGTCTCAGAAGGCAGTGATTTGTGTGATAATTTGATATGCCCAAAGCCCTGCTCATCAATGAAAACTCATATACAGTAATTGAATTCATTAACATGAATCTTGAGTATTTGGACCATTGCTTCCATGTTAACATTTTCATGGCATTTTTAGCCCCAGATGTACTTGAGCTCAGTTGTCTGCTCTCTGATTTTTATTCCCTAAAATGAAGCCATGGGGAACAAACTTAAAAGTGGGGTATTTGGGAAATTATATGTGGCAATGGTAGTGGGAAGAAAAAAATGGAGCTTTTTCCCATTGAGAAACTTCTGCATTCAGTTTGTTTGTTTCCACACAAAACAAATGAATATTCTTTCCACAAAACCATTTTCAAATATACCTTGGAAAAAGCCTTGTCACTTAAAGTATTTTACACTTATCCTGCACTTAGATTCATGAGAAAGGACTAAAAATAGTGCGAGTAAAGCAAATGACTGTACTAAACCCAGAAGATTGTTGAAAGAAAAATGATCCGCATGTTCTAATTGGGACTCCAAATATAACTCAATATTGCCTGTTGGCTTCACATATTTGTTGTAAAGAGTAAAGTGCAGTGATAATGATGTATTCCTACTTGGTCATAGTGGACCAGCTTCATTCTCTTCACAGGTTCATTTATGACTCAATTATCTGGCTATTAACCTAGTTGCCAGTTTTTTAAATTGCCATGAGCCAAATATCTCTTCTATACAGTTGATCCATTTATTTTAATGGCTGCCTTTTTAATTTCCATCTTTTCTTGCTGCTACCTGTCTTTATATGTAGTCATTAGAAAACAAAGTGTGGTCACGCTTTTTGCTGCAAAGATTTCATGTTGAAAGTGAACACTTCGAAAGTTTTTTGACTGGTGAAAGAAACGAGCTTGGAATAATGCCACGAGAGACTTGAGTGGGAGTTGCCTTTTTCAAAGGTGCCATTCTTATGAGCCAAGAATTTGTGTTTAGAAGTTTATCTTGAGGGAATAACATGTAATATAGTTTGAAATAAAGGTATAACCTTATGAAGAAGAGCATTATAATTGATACCATTGTGAAGGGGGTGAAATTGTTAAATGAATGACTTTTGATAAAGCTTTCATGCACAGGCAAAATGTATTCACTAGGTTTCTACATAGTGATCTGCTTTTACTTTGTAATTTGTAGTCCTCAAAAGACTTTTTTTAAAAAATAAAGTCTATCCTTACACTTAGGTTTATATAGGTCAGTCTTCTTTTTTTTTTTTAATTTTTTTGTAAATTCCATGCTGATACCTAGTGGTAACTATGTTATGTGTCAGATATATCTACTGTGTAAGCATTAAATAATTGCTCTTTTCATCCTTATGACTCCCAACTTCACAGAATTCTGATGTAGCAGAAATTACATTAACATTTCTACAACCAAACCATTGCATGTTACTGCAGTACAGAGTGTACCTTGTTTATTATATACTGTGTATAGTGAACGTGTGTGTAGTTTTCCAGAAAACTACATGATGATCCTTGTCTGATCAGTTTTTCCTTCATAATGACAAAGTAGTGTTTACTTACTACAGTATTAACAGTAAGTGGATGTCACCTATGACAGTATAGTGTAAAGAAAGGGAATGCTTTCTAAAAAGACTTAGCAGATTTTCATTCTGAATTTTAAGTGGCAATTTTGAGTCTCAGCTGCCAGTGCCAACCTCAAATATGTAAATATAGATGTTAAGATTGTACTTGTAATCATGATCCGATAAATGGTCATTGATTTTCCTAACTTGGTGTCAGTTTCTAAGGATAAGTCTCAGATACCATAATTAAATGTGTGCTTAGAGCTGATTAAATTTCTTAATCTTAATTATTCTGGGAGTATTGTCCTAGAGACATTTATTAGATTCTTAGGAAAATTCCACATGCCACAGGATATTTTAACACAGCATAGTGATGGTGGGGAGAAGAAATGCTTGTGACTGAGATTTATTTCCAGTTCAATTTTTTAAGGCTTTTTTCTCATCAGCCCTATCCCTAAAGCCTTTTAAACTTTTTTAACAGTGCACCAGTGAATTTTTTTTTTTGGCCACACTACATGGCTTCCAGGGTCTTAGTTCCCCAACCAGGATTTGAACCTGTGCCCTCAGCATTGAAAACATGGGGTCCTAACCACTGGGCCACCAGGGAATTGCCCCAATGAGCTTTAGTATCACAGATATGCTGTATATGTATTGTATCTGGTTTTTACATGAAAAGAGTAAGGGGGTTTGGAGGTCCTATTTGGGGGTGACACCCACTCCCATTTGAGAAATCATACCCTAATATATTTTTTAAGGGGAGGACCACCTAGTGGTAGACATTTGCATTGGCAGACATATCTTTATGTGTGTCCAAACCCTGGAGCAGTATTGTTTTCTGCCAGAGTCAGTAGAAAATAGCAGACCTTTGTTTTCTGCCAGTCACCATCATTTAACAGCTGTGCTTTACACCCTTCTGCCACAGGTATGAGACAAATCATTTCCCAGTGGCTTTGGACATCTTGATAGATTCTTACTTGATTTAGAAATGTATTCATAATTAGAATCATTCAGGTTCCTTCTTATCTATAAAAATCAGTTAAAATCCTAGGTGAATGATTTAATTAAAGTAGGTTATAACACTTTGATAAATGGCATTGAAATTTTACCAGTGAGTCTACAGTCACACCCAAGTAAGCTGCTTGCAGGAACTGATAGAACTATTATTGGCTGGTTGAAAATGTAACATAGATGCCAAAGTTTTAGTGTACTTTATTAATTAATACCTAGACTACTGAATTACCTTTGTAAAAATTTCCTCTGATGCTATTTACAGGTGCCACGTAAAACAGGCTATTGCATTTCTGTGACAATTCTAGTAAACTGCCTTGCTGTGATCTTTCATGTAAAATATTAGTGCTCTAGTATTGATAAAGAGTATGTCTATTCACCAGCCTACTGAGGCCTAATGGTTTCACATATAATTATTAAGAAATATGTTTTTAAGGTGGCTTTATATAAGTGGGATCTAGAAAATAAGTACTTTTGACTTCAAAATAATGAATTTATAATTGGCCTCTGCCTAAAAAACTTGAATTGCAGTGGATTTGTACTTAAACACAATCTTGCATAATTTATGAAATTTGGTTTGGATCCGAAAGATTTCCAAACTCCTTTCCCTCTCTACTTTTTTTTCCTTCTATTTAACTATTGGCTATTAGCCACCATACCAAATCCAGTCGTTTTAATTTTCCAATGCACTTATAATCCTTTTATCTTTATTCCAAGATTATAATTTCACATCTTAATGAATTGAAAAAAGGGTGAGAACATTTTACAGATTCACTCAATTGCTGTCAAGTTATTAACTCAGTTAACCTTAAAGTAAAGGCTTCAACTGCTTGTGCCTGCTCTAGTACCCTAGAGGAGACAATGGCAACAAATCTGTTCAGTCCTTTGCTTTGTAGACTTTATCGAGAGGGACCAATATCTCATTAAACTGTGATACAATTAGAATGTTGATAGTTGTATTAGTGTAGGTCTGCAAACTATGCATTCAATATGTATAATGAATTTGGGGTGCTACAAAGTTATCAAATATAATTGAGTTGTTTCATTTCAGGGAATTTCCAGTGTAATAACCATTTTAAAATATCTTAGGATGAAAATAGTTTAAACCATTTTTTTTTAAAGCTGAACTCCTGAAGGCTGTGCTTCAAGTTGACTTAGAGGTAAACATTGGGGAAATACAGACTGAAGAATACTCTATTCAGAAAGGTGTTCTACATTCTCTGCATCTTAAGAATAAAATATTATCTCTGTAAGTACACTTTATTTCCATTTTAGTTAGGACTAATGGATCCTGGCATGGCAAATAGCTGAAGAATGGAGAAAACGGGATATCTGATAATCCAGATAGTTCTTGACACTCTGAACAACCTCAAGTACAGCCGTTCAAGCCAGTAATTACATTGCTGCATTATTTGTGTTTAACTGTGAAATTTGCTTCTTGCCTGTACCCCTGAAATTGAATAAAATTTCATGAACTCCTTACTAATGTAAAAAGAAGAGCAGTGACTTGCACTGGTTGTTGTCAGTAACCTTTGAGTGCTGGAGTTGGTTAAAACTCGGTCCTTTTCCTGGTCCTTTCTGTTTTGCCTTTGTGTTTAAAATACCATCAAAAGACCTGTGCCCTCAGAAGACAATTATCTCCAGATAATGTTTGCTTTTGTTTGACTCACATGTACTTCAAACTCCCATCCAAACCTGTGCACGTTCAAAAATTGCCATCTACCCTCTCCAGAAAGCTTCAGGTCCCTTCTCTTCTCACATCTAACAGATCAAATCCTACCCATTCCAATTACAGAATCACTTCTCTCCAATGCCATCACCTGAATTGAAGCCATCAGCATCTCTTATGGAGAAGGCAATGGCACCCCACTCCAGTACTCTTGCCTGGAACATCCCATGGCCGGAGGAGCCTGGTGGGCTGCAGTCCATGGGGTTGCTAAGAGTCGGACATGACTGAGCGACTTCACTTTCACTTTTCACTTTCATGCACTCGAGAAGGAAATGGC